GAGTGTGGGATGGGGATCAGCAGGACAGTGGGGATCCCTGTCCTTAATCTCTTTCATGCTTCTATGGGTCACTAGTGTGACTGCTGTAACCAGTCTGCTCTCTTCTGTCCCTTTTCCTGTCCTCTTAGTCCTTCTCTCCTGGTGGGCATTCTCTTCTAACCGTCTCTGTTTCCTAACACCATATTCTTTCTCCAGCCCTGGCAGAGACTCTGAAGGGAGGGAGGAGAGGACAGAGGTGCTTGTTTCTTCCAGTGGTGGGGAGCCTGTGTTCTTAAGGAAACAGGACTTCCTGGTCTGTTAGAGCAGCCTTTTGACTGAATTCAAATTTTATATAATAAATCCTTTCATTTAAAGGGGTGCTGCAGAGAAAGAAAAGTTTTTCTCGCCTCCTTTCATATTTAAAAAGGAACAATCTTGAAATCAGAAGGCCACATCCCATTCCTTCTAAGGCATCTGTGCCAGAGGCATCTAAAATCTTGGGCATCCAGACGGGTAATCTCTAAGTGAGTAGGACTTTGGCCCTTCTCTTTAACCTTACCTGCTTTTCCATATCATAGGGCAGAATAGGTCCTCTCTGTGTGCTTTTACTGTCCTAGTTGGGATATCTGGTTATGAATAATTTATAGAATGATCAGGGAGTGGCTCTAAGAACCCAAAGACCCCAATACAGCAGGATTTAGGAAGGGACTAGCTGTCGGGACTATATCCATTGCTCTCTATGTAGCTCATTGTTACCTCAAAGAAATCCTTTCTTTGCCTCTTGGTCCACCCAGTAGGTGAAAAATGGCCATCCAGAGACAACAGACTGATGGATAGGTCAGTCACATGCAGAAACAGCCTCAGCTAGTCCCCACATCAAAGTTCCTAGAAGAGAGAGCCTTAGTGGTCCAACTGGGATCAAGAAGCCATTCCTGATTCAAACAGTTGTGATGAGTGAATGAGATGACCTAGTGCGAGTCTGGCTGCTGGGCTCCCTGGCCAGTGAAGAAGGATTTGGCCTTTAGACAGGGGAGAACTCATTGGTTCAGTGGCTGGGTAAGTACCTTCAAGATGCACCGACTACATTAGCCTTTTATTTATTCATTCAGCATCTACTTGCCAACTGTCTGCTGTGGACTAGGCAGTATTTGTAGTGTCCAGGGCAGAGCTGTGAACAAGACGAAGTCCCTGCCCTCATGGCCTCGGGCGTCAGCTGTCTGCTCGTCTGTTCGCCTACTTTTGTTTTCATTTTTTCCTTTCACTTTGGTTTCTTTTTCAACTAATAGGTATTTATTGAACTCCCACTATCTGCTGACTCTGTGTCTGTTTATATGGAGGTGTCGTAAGCATACGCTGTCATTTTGTACGGTAGTATTTGCAAAATGCATTAACTCAGAATTTGTCCCAGGAGTCTGAATTTGAAACCTTAGTCAAAATGTGCTTTGTTTCACATGGTATAGTGTTTCCTGAGGCAATATGTTTTCAACAAATTTGTTTTGTTTTGAAAGTATTAATGTTTTTCTCCAATACAGGGTTAGGTTAAGACGAGGCTAATAAGGTACAAGAAAATTATCTCAGTCTTTTGAGTGTGGGGCTGGGGGGAGGGGACTAGAACTATTTTCACCTAGGAAAAAAAATCCCCAGATCTGGCCCTGTGGTGCTATAGAAAGATAGAGTAATATGGGAGATATAATATTATTACAACCCATCATCACTAGTGTGTCCATCATTTTCTCATCCCAGTATTTGTTATACACTTACATTTTTGTTTGGAAAAACTATTGTTTTTATTCTTATTTCTATCAGTGATGCTTCTTAGTCCCAGTCTCCTTCCATCCCCAGTTCTCTAATGTTGCTTCCCTTTTCTTGCCCACATTCAATCTTTCCTCCCCCCGCCGTGCCTCCCTCCAAAAAGTCTTACAGAATGTTCCTTTGTGATGTTTCTCATGGCCCTCTTTTCCCCATCCTCCATTTAATCCATTCTATCATCTTGGTCCTAGATTATAGAACTAATTTCCTACCTGAACCCTGGTCTACAAATTCTCTCCCTTGGCTTCCACCTGTACCCCACTGCCCGATGCTCTTCTCTCTGCACAGACACCTTCTGCGGCTTCCTGTGACCTCCAGGATGAAGCTGAAGCTTCTTCACTTGGCATTTGAGTCATCCACTGTCTGGCCCCAGG